GCTGGGATCACATTTCGGCTTACTAAATGTCATTTTTTTTATGATAAGCTTGAATATCTAGGACACGAGTTGAGTTGTAGAGGCGTTCAACCTGGCCAAGTAAAGATTCAGACTGTAAGTGAATATCCTAAACCGCGAAACGTGCACCAAATTCGGCAGTTTATTGGGTTGACATCATATTTTCGACGGTTCATCAAAGGTTTTGCAACAATAGCTAAACCTTTGACTAACCTGACCAAGAAGGACGTACCCTTTTCGTGGACAGAGCAACAAGAAGACGCTTTTCAAACCCTGAAGCGCAAACTAGTTGAACGGCCGGTCCTGGCCTTGTACAACAGAGAAGCCATTACCGAGTTGCACACTGACGCCTCTAAACATGGTCTTGGAGGAGTGCTGCTACAGCGACAATACGATGGATCCTTACGACCAATTTGCTACTACAGTAGACCAGACTACCCGGACCAAAGAAAACTACCACTCGTACGTGTTGGAAACCTTAGCGGTAGTTGATTCGATTAGGCGTTTTCGAGTGTATTTGTTGGGTCTGCCGTTTACTGTAGTCATGGATTGTAATGCTCGAAGAACAGCAATGACAAAGCGTGATTTGATCCCTCGAATCGGACGTTGGTGGCTACTCATTCAGGAGTATGATTTTAAAGTAGAATATCACGCAGGGTTGAAGATGGCTCACGTTGATGCACTAAGTCGCAATAGTTTGGCAGGGGCACATGCTGACGACGATCCCCATGTTTATAATATAAGTTTAAGTGACGACGATTGGATTCTAGCTGCCCAGCTAAACGATGAGAGCTGTAAGAATATTCATCAGCTACTGACACGCGAACCAGTCGACAGAGAAGGAAAACGAATACACGCAGAGTATGTTTTACAAAACAATCGAGTGTTTAAGCGGACAAACGAAGGCAATAGATGGGTTGTTCCTAAAACAGCACGAAGTCAGATCATTTTCTACCATCACGACAATCTTGGGACATCCTGGTGCGGAAAAGACGTTGAAACTCGTAAGTCAAAAATATTGGTTTTCCAAAATGAGAAAGTACGTTAAGCGCTATATATCCTGTTGTCTGGCCTGTATGTATAACAAGGAACCGACCGAAAGACAACCAGGATTCTTACATCCAATTCCGAAATTTGATGTACCGATGCATACCGTCCACATAGACCATCTGGGTCCTTTTGTTACTAGCTCTCGCAAGAACACTCAACTGATTATGGCTATCGATGGGTTCACAAAGTTTGCTTTTCTCAAGGCGGTCCGAAATACATCGGTAGGTCCGGTGTTGACGTTTTAAAACGAAATCTTTAACTTGTTTGGTGTACCCCAACGAATTGTTTGTGATAGGGGAGGTTGTTTTACGAGCAAACGATTTGTCGAATATTGCCGGTCATTGGGCATAAAAATTAATCATGACGCTACAGCAACCTCACGAGCGAATGCTCAAGCCGAGAGGCATAACAGAACCATTTTAAGCGCCTTATCTACTTCTTCGGATGATGAAACTAAATGGGACCAAACCATTGGCAGATCCAGTTTGGTTTAAATACGACCATCAATAAAACGACCAATAAGACTCCTTATGAATTACTTTTGGGGTACAGACCTCGACAAGCTAACGACTCATTTCTCAGTGCTGAAGTCTGCACAACAAATTATGATAGCGATCTAACCAAGACAAGAGAAAAGACCAGTCAACGAATTGTTGACAAGCAAGATCAACAAAAAATGCAATACGATGCAAAACGAAAGGCAGCCCCGGAGTTCCGAGTTGGGCAACGAGTTCTAGTTCGGAAAGTAATCCCGGCAAACGATGGGAAAAGTAGAAAGTTGCTACAAAAGTACAGTGGCCCATACGAGATTTTGAAAAGACTAGATTCCGATCACTATGTGGTACGTGAGCTCCCTGGCTCAACACGCTCGCGGCGACCATATGAGACACATGACATATTTCTGTTGACAAACTTAAGTTATACGAAACGTTAACAGAAACAGACGAGAGTCGTAGCGATGGCGATGAATCTGATGACGTGCTGGACGCAGCCCGTACAGCAGAAGAGGGGCAAAATTATTTGCTTCTATACAAGCTAGCAAATACGTTGCTAATAGGTCGCTTGTATACGTTTCTATCATTCGTTTGATACGAATAGCAAATACGTTGCTGATACGAAAATCATTTACTTTTATACAAGCTAGCAAATACGTTGCTAATAGGTTGCTTGTATACGTTTCTATCATTCGTTTGATACGAATAGCAAATACGTTGCTGATACGAAAATCATTTACTTTTATACAAGCTAGCAAATACGTTGCTAATAGGTTGCTTGTATACGTTTCTATCATTCGTTTGATACGAATAGCAAATACGTTGCTAATACGTTGCTTGTATACGTTTCTATCATTTGTTTGATACGAATAGCAAATACGTTGCTAATACGTTGCTTGTATACGTTTCTATCATTTGTTTGATACGAATAGCAAATACGTTGCTAATACGTTGCTTGTATACGTTTCTATCATTTGTTTGATACGAATAGCAAATACGTTGCTAATACGAAAATCATTTACTTTTATACAAGCTAGCAAATACGTTGCTAATAGGTTTCTATCATTTGTTTGATACGAATAGCAAATACGTTGCTAATACGAAAATCATTTACTTTTATACAAGCTAGCAAATACGTTGCTAATAGGTTGCTGGCATACGTTTCTATCATTTGTTTGATATGAATAGCAAATACGTTGCTGATACGAGCTAACAAACACGTTGTTAACACACCGTCCCGATACAAGTTAGCTGCATATGTTGTGGCAAGTACGTTGTTACAAAACAGTGCTATTACGAGTTAGCACTAAACGCTACCTATACGTGGCTCGTGGACGATATGACACGATCATATCCGACACATTGCCAAAGTAATTAATCGATTTACCCAAGTATGTACTATCTAAGTCGATTTATTAACGAGTAATGACGTTGACCATCTGACACTTGTGACTTACTACAACAACGAACTCTATTGATGGTGTTTCATATATTGAACATTTATTGATACTATTGTGTTTCTCTTAGGATGCATCTCCACGAGGACGTGGTGGATGGCGCGTGGCCGAGCTGTAAGCGGCAACCGTTTATGCTGACGCCAGTAGTTCCCCGACCTCCGCGACGGTGGTGATGACATCACCGCCTTGGGCGACGCTGGAGGGGAATGAGAGGACGTCAGTACCACTTCGGACACAAGCTGAGCACGTTGTTAATCGTTTATATTTTCAAATAAATTCGTAAAAGACTTTTCTGGCTTATAAAAATTGGGATATTTCAATGGGCGATCCTGGAAAAATGATCGGAGTTATCCAAGAAATGAGGACGAAATTATCTGGAGGTCTAAATCTACAAGAAAATGTCTTTAGATAAGTTTCGTAAGTGATTAAAAAAGGGTCTAAATTTTCTCATAAGACAAGAATTGAAAAATTGAACTTTTGAGAAAGTTCCTGATTCGAAATAAATTGCAAGCTAATTTTAAGGATCTCAAATTTTGTCTGTGTACACATTTGAACATTTTTGTAGTTTATCTAAGTATCTTTTGTTCAAACAATAGGATTGATAGGATTTTTGCAATAATGTAGGTTACTTGATCTTCAGTCTGTAACTAATTTTATGACCACTTTTTTCTAAAGGTAAGCTTTTTTGATGCCGATATAACAGTCTTCCTTCAATAAAAACATGCACAGAAATCTCCACAAAGAACTAAAAATTTTATATCCCAACAGCCAATAGAAAGACTTAGGGCCGGTCTTTTCACCTCCTGATAAAGTTCCTGATAATTTTTATCTGCTGGATAACGTCAAATGGTGTCTTTTCACCACCTGACAAAATTATCTCCCAGATAAATAGCTCTTATTCGGCAGATACACTATTCGGAACTTTGAGTTCCGAATAGTCGCCGATTCCTACAGATATCTGACGGCGACAGCCGATGGCGCAGCGAACTTACGCGATTGCTCACTTGTCGATGACGTGCCATTTCTGCCAAAGACCGTTATAGGTTATGTGGTGTAGGTGTTGTTTTTATTTGAATCGTGAGTGATTTTATTATTTAAAAAAAATGGGCAAACGAAAAATTGAAAATGAAGAAAAACGGAAGAGGGAGCCAAATTACACGAAGGCTGAAACAAGGCGGCTTTTAAAAATTATTGCTACTAGGGCGCATATTATTGAAAATAAAAGAACCGATTCCGTCACGTGGAAGCAGAAAGAGGAGACGTGGAAAGAAATTGCTGCCGAATACAATGCAATAACAGGCAAGTTATTTATTTTACATGTTATATAAATTATATTTTTATTATATATTGTAATTAAAAATAGGAAATGTAATCCGAACACCAGAAAGGATTCGTCAAAAGTACGAAGCGACAAAGAGAGATATAAAACGGAAAGTTGCGTTCAATAAAAAAGAAACGTACAAAACTGGTGGCGGATCTTCCCCAGAGATATGGAGAAGGAGAATGAGCTTCCCCATGCGCAGACGAAATCCTTGGTCTAAAATTGAAAGCAGCCATTTTATCAGTTGACTGTTGCCAACATAATCACAAATCACTAACAGAACTTGATATCCCTAGACAATTGCTTCATTATTGGGCGGGAAGTTTAAAATCATTAATTACAATCACCTAATAATAAATCACAACTAAAATATATTTCACCTTAAACGAATAAATAAACATAATTATACTTCAATATATTTATTGATGCGAAAACAGTACTAATTATGTGTACACATGTCTAACAGAAGTGCCTTGAGCAAGACATGAAAGTCTTTTGCTCAAATTAAACATTCTTATTCGCATGTAGGCATTAATTATTATTTGTTTAATAAGAATATATAAATGGCCTTCATCGATGGCCACCGTCTCGAGTGCGTGGGTCTTCTAAATTAGGAAAAAGAATGCTGGCATGCCGAAAGTTTTAAAAAATTGTTCATCGCTTGGAAGTTTATCGGTGAGTTGCAAAATTTTTCGTATTAACAGTAACAACAAGTCTTCACAACCCCAGCAAAAGGTTTAATAAGCCCACCTAAAATCAAAATTTTGTTAAGACTTAAAAAATAACTATTGTAAGTATTTTATTTTACCCATGTTTTTTTTGTCCAATAATCTGTAAAACTGTAAGTCACTTCCTCGTGTTTCAATGCAAGAAGAAATGCAGTCTGCGCACTTAAACGTCTTCACCAGCATTTTGACAACATAGCTACCAATATATGCCACGTTTTCTGCCACTTCACTCTGCCCAATAAAATTAGACGTTCATAGTCATGATCTGCAAGTGCTTCAGTCAAAATATCGAGATCATATTTTTTCAAGACAAACACGTCAACTGATTGTTGAACATTTGTGCTCTTTTGCTTTGGGCCAATGCTAACAGAGAGCAGACAGGTGGTGCAAAGCACTTTACAATTTCCTCCTTCCCTCGTTATGTTTGTAAATAGAAGCAATCTTCTAAGTTTTACAAAATCGTAGAGGAGTAGGGTTATTGTTTCACCCATTTCTCGATCTGAAAACAGAAAAATAAATACAGATTTGTGTAATTCCAGTGCATAAAAAAGTAATACAATTGTTTTTTTAAAAGCTTACCGCACTGAGCAGAAGAAAATTTCTAGATGATCTTGACTACATTTATGTTAGCAAGTCATTCAACCTCTTACTACTAACAAATTCATCAAAAATTCCCATGAACGACGTAGCGGAAATAACAAAGCCCAGAATTGACGTTTTTCGGGGCGTGCACCACAAAGGCCCGCCAGTGACATCCTTCAAATTCAGAAGATACTCACTGGTGTCGATGAGAAATGGACGCCACATTTCTTCATTGTTTTCTCTCAAAGGTGCCTTAAAATTCTAGCACGTACACTTCAGGAATTGAGAATATCAAATAAAGAATCTATCCTTCTGATGAATTCTATTGTTGTTTCACAACCTTGAAAGTCACTAATACCAAGATGTTTTAAAAATTCAAGTGCATCCGCAACTCTTGCTAAGAGTTTGTGCTGCTAAACTCACCTATAATAGAACTTAATTATTGTCAATAAGGAATATTGTAAGGAAAACAACTTACTTTCATTTTATGTTTCCATCACTCCAAATGTGCCTTTTTCAACTTATTTGCAACATTTAGGAATTCATCATTTTGTAATTCATGTAGTTTCTTTATGTAACGCCAGCTTATCACCTTCCCTACTGTCAGAACTACTTTTTGAGTTCTTGCTTTTACTTCCACTTGTACTGCTACTGCTTTTTCCATGGTATCTCTGCGCAGCACTAAATAATAATTATTAACAGTAGTAAAAAATTCAATATAATAAAATATTCAAACCTTAATGTCCTCTTTACACCTTGAGGTATAATCGATGGAGACTCTTCTCAAATATCAGCTGAAGTAGCACTCACAGTACTCATTGAAGTTGAAGAAGCTTCTAGACTTTCATCTAAATTCACACTGGGAATTGCGTTCGATTTCAATCGTTTTCACTCATTTACAACAATGAAATCAGTTGTTGTGAAATGATCTGAGCACACCAGCTTATACTTAGTCAGTTTGAAGCTGTCATCTTTTTTCACAACAATCAGCCACTTTTTTAAAAGTTTTCGATCTTTCGGAAACCTAAAATCAGATATAATAAATATTGATCACATAGTATTGCAATAACCAATTGTTATTAATTATAAATATCTACGTATTCGATTTTAATAAGATAATGAAGAAAACTTACTGATGAAAAGATACACCTTCTGAACGAAATCGTTGACAATTTTTACAGTGAGAAACTGTACAAGACATGTTTGTTGTCAATAATAATGTCCTTTAACACTAACAAGCACGTTCACACGTACACTAACGGTAAAACAAATTAAGTAATAATTTTAACTCCAAATTACAACTGGTTCAACAACGTCCTAACCTCGTAGGTAAACAAAACTTTAAGGTTAACTGATAAAATGGCGGCCCCCATAGTGTACCGATGCGCAGAAGTCGAAGCTCATTCTCCTTCTCCATATCTCTGATCTTCCCAGTATATGAGTTTTGAAGATTATGAGACCGAACTGTTAGAGTCCCTAACAGTGCCTGTCAATGGACTTCCATCCGAATTTGATTCAGATGAGGGATTGATTCCTATGGGTGAGAATACATGGGCTGCATTCACATTTTTACTGTCACTATCGCTAATTTAAGCAAAAGTATCAAACATTCCTTCAAAATATGCAAGTTTATTGCTCTACATCAATTTTTTCTTCATAAAATCACAGTAAAAATATGGATATTATATAAATAGATATTAATTTTGAAATATAAACAATTGTTTCAATGTTTTAGCAATGAATGGTGAAACATCAGATAACCCGAACATTGAAATTGGAGTCAATGAGGATCCAACATCAGATGCTCAAGTGCCACAAATAATAATTGATGTATAAGTTCTGCTTTAATTAGTCATTTGACTCTTTTTGCTAATCGTTAACTTGCATTTGCAGGAGGCACATGTTGATCCATCTGAAACAGAGGAATCCATCGTCCCGGGACTTTTGCAGGTTTGCTCAAAGGACGGAGGAGAGGTAAGGAGCCTATACTCGGTAAAATAGCATTTAACAGTTGCAATGATTGTAGGGTTCAAGTACAGGAGTGAACTCAAATATTAAATGGACGGGATGGTCTCCTGCACAACTAAAAACAAAAAAACATCCTCTCCTAAATCAAAAAAAGGCAAAGGGGCACTGTACCAAGGACCAATTAAACGTGAAAGTGGAGAATGTGGTGAACTCACGTCATAACCTTGTAGAATTGCAGAAGAAGTACCTGGAAAACGAGGAGCTTCGTCGAGTTGAAGAACATGAATTAAAAATGGCAATTCAGAAACAGAAATTAGCCGCTTTGGATTTAGAAATCGAGAGGGAACAGAAACTGTATTTAAAAAAAATGGAGTTACTAGAATGTGAATTATCGATTAAAAAAAAAACACTAGAGTTGCTAGAAAAATAAAACATTTTTTTATTTTGCATGAAACAAATAATACATATGCATGTACTAAATTATAAATCCACCTGCAGTCAACATATTTCGAAAATAATCAATTATTGTTTCCCTTTCTTCAACACCACCATCGTTATTTTCTACACCATTATATACCACGGGCTGATCCTCTTCATCATCCCCTTCAAAAACTTCTTCATTTTGTTGACAGGCAATGTTGTGTAAAATGGCACATGCCACCACAATTCTCTGTGCTAAATTCAGCCGACACCTTATACCCACACTTAGCACCGGAAATCTACGCTTCCAGATTCCAAATGTTCTCTCCACAACATTCCTAGTTCTTATTTGTGATTCATTATAAAGATTTTCTGCCTGTCCTTCAGGATTATGAATCGGAGTTAAAAGATACCTTCGAGAAGGATAGCCACTATCTCCTAATAAAATTCCATTGCCCATCTCGCCATTTTCAAACCTCATATATACAGATGAATTTTGAAATATGTGGGCATCATGTGTCGAACCTGGCCAACGTGTCACTACATCCAAAATTTTATGACTGGCATCACAAATAACTTGGACATTCAATGAAAAAAAGCCCTTTCGACATCGAAATAATTCCGCACGCTCACCTCCTGGAGATTGTAACTTTATGTGCGTACAGTCTATTGCCCCGATCACTCGTGGAAATTGAGCCAAATTATGAAATTTAATAATTTTCTCGTGTCTTTGTTCCTCAGTATTCGGCATAAAAATATAAATCCTTCTTAACGTACAAATTGCTGTTACCACACGTTGAACTATTTTTGCTGCTGTTGATTTATGGACTCCCAGAAAATCACCTGTACAAATATAAAAATCTCCGGTGGCCAGAAATCGCAACGTTAAAAGTAGTTGATCCATAGGACGAATAGCTCGATCTAAATTCCTGTTTTAAATTAACACAAATTAATAGTACGTCTAATATTTCCTATTTATTTTTACCTTCCGGTCCGATGATGTAAATGCTCTTGAATTTCGTTAAATAATAATTCTACTGTGGCTTTTGAAAGGCGAAAACGATTGAAAAACTCTTGGTCATTCCAAAAGTTGAAATGATCTCTCCTTTCGCGAACAGTATATGTTCGATGTGGATTTATTTCTTCGATCACATTTATTAAATCTGCATCAAATAATATGTCGATATCTTCATAGACATCCATAGCGTTATCAAAACAAAACGATAATATACCAAGTAAATGAGGTTATGTTAGCAACGGTACGACTTCGAACGTCAAAAACTGTTGCAAACCCAGTTGCAAATAGTCTTTCTCTCTTATTCATGTTAGAATACCAATAGCTCCCACTCTCTCGCTTACAGCTGGACTAGCTGATTGTTATCGGAAACCCATGTCTAACAGTTGCAAAATGAAAAGACGGTACGAGCTTATTTAGAAGATAAGACCGCCAGGTAAAGTTATCGGGATGATAGTTATCGGACACTTTATCTGGGACATGAAAAGACCGGCCCTATTATTCTAGTAGAAACATTTTGATTTTAAACGAACTCTAAAATTCTATTCAAAGTGGTAACTTTATTTATTCATTAGATTAATTTTGAAAACGAACCAGATATTTTTAAACGTACAAAAACTGTTTTCCTGACAAAATAATATAAATTTAGACCAACAAATTTTATTGTTGTCAGAACTACTTAGATCTGAGGTTTCATCGTAATCTTGTTGAAACACTGGCTTTAGGGAATATTGCTTACATTAATTAAAATTTACTTTGTCATCCCCGGTGAAAAACTTTTACGTCGTTTAAAAGAATTTGCTGCTTGTGTTTCAATAACATTCTTTTATTTTTTAAACATGATGTCTGAAAACAAAACATGAACTCATTATTTTATCCATTACCCCACAATAATTAATGAATCATCTAATTCACCTAAAATGCTACAACGGGAAATGTGAATTAATAAAAACCTAAACGAATATATTTACGTCAAAAAGGAAGAACGCCAATTAAAAATAGCTAAATCTGTATTAAAACAATTTATTTTGTAAGGATTTTTGCTGTCTAGACATAAACTAATAGAATACAAAAACTTTTCTAATAGAAAAGTGAAAATTTCATTTCAAGTCTCCAAAAAATTTCATAATTGAAACAGTTTATCTATTTTACTGACGTTTTTTACTTTGTGTTGTTTGTTTTTCCACATTAAAAAAAAAAACCGCTCTGAGGATCCAGGATAGGGGAAACAAGTTAGGTGCCAATGAATATTTCGTTCGTTAATAATAGTAAGCTTATTTTTTATACGGATATGAAAAATTTACAGTAATCAATGTTTTCAAAAATTTTCACATACATTTCCTATTACCTTGGTAAGGTTATCGTATCTATTGATGTCCTTGCATGCTTTATAAATAGTGTAACTTTTTTGCTGGAGTTTCACTATTAGGAGAATTAAACAATAAAAATTAAATTAATCGTTAAAAAAATCAAGGGGCACTCATGAACCACAAGTACAGGAATATGTTATTTGGGGCGACATCATCAAATTATCAGACGACAACCGAACAGGAGATCTATTATTTCATACTTTAAGGGTCACAAAATCATGAAAGCCCTTTTACAGTAAAGGACATCGTGGGCCAAATGCATGTATATTTTTATAACACAGCTAGTTTTATCAACTTTTGCACAATTTCCATTGCACCTAGACTAGAAAATTTCACAATTAGATTATTACTTCTTTTCAAGTCCTTTCCACTGCAGAATCTCGTTTGTATGTCCGCAACGCGCTACAAAGAATTTTACAATGTCCACGTCTTTTCCCGTAATGCTGTGACTAACGTCGCGAATATCGAAACTTTACCAGTATCGACAAACATTTTTCATCCTTTATCGCCATAGAAAACATACTTTTGTTATCATTTTTATGCTAATATTATGTTACAACCTGAGCAGGGCTAAATATTTACACTAATTATGTGTACAGCTAATCTTTTTTCACCTGTGGTCATCTGCAAGCCAGCATTCGTCGTTAAAATGGCTCGATGATGAAGCCATTGTTATTAGAGGAAGTCCCTGCCGCACCTACAGTACCACCTAAAGCCCTTTATCCACTCTGAATACACGTCCTTGCTACTCAATTATTTAAACATTCTTCCACAATCAGGATAATAATTTTTATTTCACTTGCATTCTGTACAGTGCAGTTACAACGAGCAGTCGTGTGTAGACATCGAGTGAAGTGCGCTTGTTCGAAGAAATGAAGGAGTTAAGTGCTAACGATTTGTTGACCAACGTACACAAGTAAGTAATATTTGCGAAATTTCGTCCAACGTTATTTAAATTTTTGTAAATTTGGGTAAATTATGTGGACATTAATTTCACAGTTACAACTATTGTGTAATTATGTTGTAACTGTATGACAAAATTAAGTAAGATAAACTCAAAAATCCTTAGTCAAAATTTGTAACCGCAAGTTTTAATAAAAGTAAAGATTTGGGAAAGCTGTGGTCTTTGTAGATACACAGTGATCTGTTCATCGATCCGATACAATTACTATGCAGTGGTATGTCACACTTTTCTTGTAAATGTGGAACTGATACGTTATTTTTACCGTAGAGCGAAAGCCAAGGGATACATTGTTATTTTGAAGAGTTTCACGTTTGCTCGGAAATTTACACCACGTAGAATGTAATCTACGTGCTTTCATAAAGTGCATTCTGGTTTCCGTCTGTCTGTCTGTCGTCTGTCACTGTTGTTACTTTATTACACAGATAAATCTCCGGAACTACCGAACCAATGTTTTCTAAACTTTGTGCAACTTTTAAACATTTTTTTCAAAAATTAAAAAATTCTATTCAATTAAGAAATCTAAATATGCTTCTATATTTTAGAATTACGTACAAATAATATAACAAAATATTGTCCGAACCGGTGTTCTCTTTGCCCGTATTTTGAAAATGTGCTAACGTTCGGAGTACATCGTGCATATAAAAATTATAATAAATGATAAATATTAATAACCAGTCTGGTCTATATCTCTGGTAATTTCACATAAAATAAACATTTTGTTTGTCACACTTTTTGTTAAATTTTGTAACAAATTCTTTTTCCTGTGTTTTTTTTACCCAGATTTTTGGAGATCTAACTTAAACAATCTATAGTTCTACAGTTAATTTGATGATTGTTTGGCCTAATAACTTTTAGAACTATAAACTTTACGAGAATTTATTGATTTATTCAAAATTAAATTGAAAAATGTTGTTTTTTTTCCAAAAATCTGTACGTTTAGGGCACAAACTTAACACAGATTCATAAACCACAAGTTCAGGAGTATCTTATTATATAAAATTTCATTAAGATTTACTATTGTAAATTTTGGAGATGACGTCATCCCGTTGTTGGTGGGGATGACTAGCCAAATTTTGATTAGTGTTTTACAGACGAAAACGGAAAACCTATTTTTTCGTACTGTAGGGGTCATGAAACGTCTAGAAAACATAAAAGTCACGAAAATTTAAAAATCCACTGATGCAAACATACAAAAATCGCAAACATACAGAATTTTTGAGAAAAGTGCAAAATTTTATTTCTTGGTAAATTTCAGTTCTGTTTGTCCATTTCTTAATGAATTTAAAATTCGAAAACTGTAGTAACCAAAATAAGTTAAATTTCAAAAAAAAAAACAAACATTTTATGTGTAACAGTCATACTCAAGGTCGCAATTCACTCCACTTTTACTTATAACAATCATAACAATGGTGGACATTTCGTTATCTCAAGTTTGCAATTAAAGTGAAAAAACTTATTATTCAAATATAAAATAATGTAACACTTTGTAAAATTTAACCTTCACATAAAAAATATAATTTTTACAAATCAGTCTTCTTCAGAAAGTTTTAATCCGCTGAATGCTTAAGATTTAACACATTAAGTACTGAGTGTGTCAGTGTCATACAATGTTGTTACCATTGAATTCGAAAACTAAGAAAGTATTGTAATAGAGTCCGTCCAA